GCTATATAAGTACCTATTATAAATAAATAAACTCAATGTACACTATATTGCCAAAAGTATTGGCCCCGCCCTCCAAATCATTGGATTCAGGTGTTCCAATCCCCTCCATGGCCACAGGTGTATAAAATCATCACCTAGGCTTGCAGACTGCTTCTACAAACATTGGTGAAAGAATGGGTCGCTCTCAGGAGCTCAGTGACTCCAAGCGTGGTCCCGTGATAGGTGGTCACCTGTTCAATAAGTCCATCCGTGACATTTCCTGGCTACTAAATATTCCACGCTCAACTGTTAGTGGGATTGTAACAAAGTGGAAGCAACTGGGAACAACAGCAACTCAGCCACCAAGTGGTAGGCCACGTCACATGACAGAGTGGGGTCAGCACATGCTGAAGCGCACAGTGCGTAGAAGTCACCAACTGTCTGCAGAGCCAATAGCTAAAGACCTCCAAACTTGGTGTGGCCTTCAGATTAGCACAACAACAGTGTGTAGAGAGCTTCATGGAATGGGTTTCCATGGCCGAGCAGCTGCATCCAAGTCTTACATCACCAAGTGCAATGCAAAGTGTCGGATGCCGTAGTGTCAAGCACGCCGCCACTGGACTCTAGAGCACTGAAGATCTGTTCTCTAGAATGACCAATCACACTTCTCTGTCTGGCAATCCGATGGACGTGTCTGGGTTTGGTGGTTTCCAGGAGAACGGTACTTGCCTGACTGCATTGTGCCAAGTGTAAAGTTTGGTGGAGGGGGGATTATGGTGTGGGGTTGTTTTTTAGGGGTTGGGCTTGGCCCCCTAGTTCCAGTGAAGGGAACTCTTGAGGCGTCAGCATACCGAGACATTTTGGACAATTTCATGCTCCCAACTTTGGGGATGGCCCCTTCCTGTTCCAACATGACTGCGCACCAGTGCACAAAGCAAGGTTCATAAAGACATGGAGGAGCCAGTTTGGGGTGGAGGAACTTGACTGGCCTGCACAGAGTCCTGACCTCAACCCCATAGAACACCTTTGGGATGAATTAGAGCGGAGACTGTGAGCCAGGCCTCCTCCCCCGACATCAGTGCCTGACCTGACAAATGTGCTTCTGGAAGAATGGTCCAACCTTCCCATAGACACCCTCCTAAGCCTTGTGGACGGCCTTCCCAGAAGAGTTGAAGCTGTTATAGCTGCAAAGGGCGGGGCCAACTCAATATTGAACCCTACGGACTAAGGCTGGGATGGCATTAAAGGTCATGTGTGTGGAAAGGCCGGCCGACCAATACTTTGGCAATATAGTGTATGTCAATAACATTTGTTTAAGATATTTTAGCTTGTCTTACTTACACACCAGCAAAAATCCACAGTGTTCATTTCCTTCCTTTCTTGTCTGGGACTCTCCTTCTCCATTGTGGACTCCAGGGGCAGACTGACCATTTGGAAACTCAGGCACTGCCCGAGGGCCCGGGGTCAGTAGGGGGCCCCATGAGATGCCCCTGGTACCTTTTTCATAGGCTTTTTTAAGTTTGGGCAAGGACACAGGGGCTCCATGATCCCCTATTGCCGGGGGCCCCATGAGTTGTCAGTCCGCCCCTGGTGGACTCCCAGAGCTTCTCCAGTCAGTAGCCAACATTACGTGGCTTCTATACAATGCACTTACTGCCCACCTTCCATCCCCAGAAGGTCACTCACTTCCCAAAGTTTGATAGCGCCCCTTGATACAAGGGGCCCGCACACTTAAAGCTGACCTCCAGCCTTCTTTTCCATCTTGCACAGGTGTACCGGCTCCTCTCCTTCACTGAAATGGCTTACTCTGATTTCACTGCACACTGTGAGCTTCACATAGTGTGCCCTAGAAAAAGTAAAGGGGGTGCCACCATCTACTGTAAGTGTAGACTTTTATTAACAACACATTAGTAAAAGATAATATGCACTCACCTGCTGTTTATGGTAAAAGGCACATGAAACGGTCCCGGGGACTTCTGCAGAGTTGGCCATGGAAGCGGTCAGGTGTTGTAGAGTAGTGCCTGGATGCGGCTGTACACACTGTGCAGAGTTCAACAAGGAAGCATTGCATGAAGTGGCTGGGTGTGTTCATGCCTGTCATACCGCTGCCGAGCGAGAACTGGAGACCAGAACCGGGAGAGCGATGATATATACAGCGGCTTAGTGGTTAGCACGTCTGCCTTGCAGTAAATGGGTCATGGGTGCGATTCCCGATCATGGAGCATCCTGCATGGAGTTTGCATGTTCTCCCTGTGCCTGTGTGGGTTTCCTCTGGGTGCTCCGGTTTCCTCCCACACTCCAAAGACATGCTGGTAGGTGAATTGGATCCTGTCTAAATTGTCCCTAGTATGTGTATGTATGAATGTAAGTTAGGGACCTTAGATTGTACGCCCCTTGAGGGTTAGGGACTGATGTGAATGTACAATATATATGTAAAGCGCGGAGTACATTGATGCCGCTATATAAGTACCTGAAATAAATAAATAAAATATATGGGCGTGGCAGCGGAATGACATCAGCCGCAAGGGCATGGCTACAAGTTTCAGGGCTTTGAAACGCTCCTTTCTCAAGCTTCGCGCCGTCTCATTTGGAGTCTGGAGCCATCCTTTAGCACAGAGTTTCTCAGCCTTTTCAGTCTCAGCACCCTTTACAATTACATCAAATCTTGAGGCACCTTGTTATAAATGTTACTATATATAAGACACCCGAGTCTGGAATCATGTACACCGTCATCTAGGGGAAATGAACTTCACATGAGAACATCCCTGTTCATAGCAGGGGTCCCCCATCATATTAAAAGTCCTCTCTCTATAACATCAGAGCCTCCCCTTCACATCAGAAGCCCTCTTCCATAGCAGAGCTTCCAACCCCCACCCCCTTCATATTAGAGGTCCCTTCACTATAACATCAGAGCCTCCCCTTTCCATCAGAAGCCACCTTTCCTAGCAGAGGTCCCTATTCAAATTAGAGGTCCCCCCTCAATAAAATCAGAGCCTCTCCTTCACATCAGAACCTCCCTTCCTATCAGGGGTCCCCCTTCATATTAGAGGTCCCCTTACTATAACATCAGAGCCTCCCCTTCCCATCAGAACCCCCTTTCATATCAGAGGTCCACCTTCATATTAGAAGTCCCCTCACTATAACATCAGAGCCTTCTCTTCACATCAGATCCCCCCTTTCCTATCAGGGGTCCCCCTTCATATTAGAGGTCCCCTCACTATAACATCAGAGCCTCCTCTTCACATCAGAACCCCCCTTTCCTATCAGGGGTTCCCCTTCATATTAGAGGTCCCCTCTTTATAACATCAGAGCATCCCCTTCCCATCTGAAGCCCCTTTCATAGCAGAGGTCCCCCTTCATATTAGATGCCCCCTCTCTATAACATCAGAACCTCCTCTTCACATCAGAACCCCCCTTTCATATCAGGGATGCCCCATCATATTACAGGTACCCACTATATAACATCAGAGCCTCCCCTTCCCATCAGAAGCCCCCTTTTATAGCAGAGGTCTCTCTTCATATTAGAGGTCCCCTCTCTATACCATCAGATCCTCCCCTTCACATCAGAAGCCCCTTTTATATCAGGGATCCCCCTTCATATTAGAGGTCCCCTCACTATAACATCAGAGCCTCCTCTTCACATCAGAACCCCCCTTTCCTATCAGGGGTCCCCCCATCATATTAGAGGTCCCCTCTCTATAACATTAGAGCCTCCCCTTCACATTAGACCCCCCCTTTTATATCAGGGGTTCACCTTCATATTAGAGGTCCCCTTTCTATAACATCAGAGCCTCCTCTTCCCATCAGAAGCTCCCTTTCATATCAGAGGTCAATCTTCATGTTAGAGGTCCCCTCTCTATACCATCAGAGCCTCCCTTTCATAGCAGAGGTCCCCCTTCATATCAGAGGTCCCCTCTCTATAACATCAGAGCCTCCCCTTCCCATCAGAAGTTCTCCCAGCACATCAGAGTCCCCCCATCTTATCATCAGCCTCCTCCATTATACAATCCTCTGATTACATCAGAAGCCCACTCTTCCCATCAGATGCCCATCCATACATCAGAGCCCCCCCCTATACATCAGGGTGCCCCATCACAGAGTCCCCTTTTCCCATCAGAGCCCTTCCTTCCTCCAGCAGTGGTGGGAGATGGAGCAGGTCTGTACAGAGGTACACTCCATCCTCTCCTGAATGTTGGGGTTGGCCCCGCGATCCTCCTGCCCTGGATCGGCGCCATACATTGCCATGGTGTGAGTGGGATACCGTGCGTCCATAGAGCTTCATTGGTTCTTTCGGTGATGGTGCCTGCCTGCCCCATAGCAGTGCATATGCTGACCCAAGGCGAACTGCGTCCTGCGCAGGGGTGGACTGACAACTCATGGGGCCCCCGGGAATAGGGGATCATGGGGCCCCTGTGTCTTTGCCCAAACTCAAAGCACACCCAAAAAAGCCCATAAAAAGGCACCAGGGGCATTTCATGGGACCCCTTCCGACCCCAGGCCCCGGGCAGTGCCTGAGTGTTCAAATGGCCAGTCCACCCCTGGTCTGCAGTACCCCAGGTTGACAAACCCTGATCTAGCCCCTCCCTCCCCAGCCTGACTGCCCCTGGCCCGCCCATTCCATCTGATGGGTTGCATTTCTTTGAGTCATGAAGGCTCAGCATCACATGTAGCATGAGTTGTAGTGATGTGTTCAGGAAGTTATGTGCACAATCCTGCAGCCCCCCCCCCCAGCCATCATCTGCCTGCACTGCATAGAGAAGCACAGAGACCAAGTCATGATGTGACTAAAATAAAGCATTTCATGACAACAGCAAGGATTGTTGCTGCTAACTGTACATCTGTCATTTCTCAAAGTGCTCAGATTTATCTACTGGAAAGCTTTTTGTACAACGAAGCAATTTCACATGTGCTATTTTCAGAGCGGTCCCTCTGCCGTCACTATCTCCTATGGCATGGCTCCAGCAGAAGCGTGTTCCTCTGTCCTGGTAAGATCTGCCTTCAGTATCAGAGCACTGACCTACTTCAGTCATTAAAGGGGCTATATGCATAGATTTGCATGCCTTGAGGGCAGCGGCAGACTGACAACTCATGGGGCCCCCGGGCAATAGGGGATCATGGGGCCCCTGTGTCCTCACCCACACTCAAACCACACCCAAAAAAGCCTATGAAATGTACCAGGGGCATCTCCTGGGGCCCCCTTCTGACCCCGGGGCCCTGTGCCCGAGTTCCCAAATGGTCAGTCCACCCCTGCTTGAGGGGTGTTCAGTGGTGGAACATGCCCATTCCTGTACACGGCTAATCGTCCTATAGGAAAATTACAGGAGGTCAAATGGAGCCTACGGGGTGGATTTACTGAAGGCAAATAGGCTGTGCACTTTGCAAAGTGCAGTTGCTCCAGAGCTTAGTAAATGGGGTAAACCTCCACTTTGCAAAAAATACCCAATCAAGGGCAAGCAAATTGAAAAAAACAGCATTTTTGCACATGCTTGGATGACGGAAGTCAGCAGAGCTTCTGCTCTTTTACTAAGCACTTGCAAAGTCTAATTGCCTTTAGTAAATCATCCCCCCCATGTCCACCTTAGTTTCAGAGTCACATACAAATTGCATGTCCAAAATAATCTGGAACAAATGTGAATCCTGTAAAGGAGTGAACGTTCTACATAGAAAGGACGAATATTCACTTGCAATCTACAGCAGTACTCTTCTCTGCCACTAGATGTCCTCGGTCTGATGGCTAAAAGTCATCCTCAGCCAGCCCTTGGCTATGACTGGACAGTGAAAAGAGAAGCAGCGCAGCGGTGAGCTCACCTCTCCGGCACTCTGAACTGATTGTGCTGCTTCTTCCTCTCACACCCCGGACTCTTAACTCTTTCATAGTTGATTTACATATGTACATCTCCTTTCAGTCAGCCTAATGGTGACCGCACATTCCTGCGCATTCCACATGTGCAGGACAAGAAAATTCATTTCATTTCGATCTGTTATTTAGATGGTTTTATTTCGTTAACTTTGTTTAATTCGTTTTCGGAATTCGTTTTTGTTTTCAAATTTGATTTCATTTGAATTAAATTCGACCAAAATTCTAATTCAAATTTATTCTGTTTGAAAATTGAATTTCGGGATGCAATCATATTCTTTCTATTGTATTTCATTGTTTTTTCTGTTCTATTGTTTTCTATTCTATTTTCTTTTCTTTCTTTTCCATTCTATTTTAATCTATTTGAATTCAAATTTATTCTATTTGAAATTCAAATTTCAGAAGACAGTTATATTCTTTCTATTCTATTGAATTCTATTCTATTATTATTTTGTTTCACTAAATTAGTTTAATTCATTTTCAGAATTTGTTTTCAAATTTGATTTCATTTGAATTGAATTTGACCAAAATTCACATTCAAATTTATTCTGTTAGAAAATTTAATTTCGGAAGGCAGTTGTATTCTTTCTATTCTATTGAATTCTATTCTATTGAATTCTATTCTATTATTATTTTTTCTATTCTGTTTTATTCTTTTCTATTTCATTCTAATCTATTCAAGTTAGAATTTATTATCTTTGAAATTTAAATTTTGGAATAGTTATATTCTTTCTGTTCTATTCTATTCTTATTTATTCTATTCAGATCTATTCTATTTGAATTCAAATTTATTCTCTTTGAAATTCGAATTTCAGAAGATGATTATATTCTTTCTATTTTATTCTATTCTATTGAATTACATTCTATTCTTTTCTATTTCATTCTACTATATTCTATTTGAATTTGAATTTATTCTGTTCGAAATTTTAATTTCGTAAGACAGTTATATTCTTTCTGTTCTATTCTATTTTGTTTGATTCTATTATTTTCTCTTTTCTTCTATTAGAATTTATTCTATTTGAAATTCAAATTTCGGAAGACAGGTATATTATTTATGTTCTATTCTATTATTTTCTATTCTTATTTATTCTATTCAAATCTATTATATCGAATTCAAATGTATTCTCTTTGAAATTTGAATTTCCGAAGATGGTTATATTCTATTTTATTCAATTCTATTGAATTCTATGCTATTATTGTTTTCTATTCTGTTCTATTCTTTTCTATTTCATTCTAATCTATTTCTATTTGAATTAGAATTTATTTCTGATCGAAATTAAAATTTCAGAAATTTATATTCTGTTCTATTCTATTCTGTTCGATTCGATTCTATTCTTTTCTATTCTATTCTTTTTTACCCTATTCTGATCTATTAAAATTCAAATTTGTTCTATTTGCAATTTGAATTTCGGAAGACAGTTATATTCTATTTGATCCTATTCTGTTTTTTTTTACTATTCTTTTCTTTTCTATGCTAATCTATTCTATTATTTTATTTTTGTAATCTATGCAATTCTATTGTTTTTCTATTCTATTCTTTTATTTTCCACTCTATGCTTTTCTATTCTAATCTATTCTATTTTTTTTGTTCTATTCTATTCTTTTATTTTCCACTCTATGCTTTTCTATTCTAATCTATTCTATTATTTTTTTTGTTCTATTCTATTCTTTTATTTTCCACTCTATGCTTTTCTATTCTAATCTATTCTATTATTTTTTTGTTCTATTCTATTCTTTTATTTTCCACTCTATGCTTTTCTATTCTAATCTATTCTATTATTTTTTGTTCTATTCTTTTATTTTCCATTCTATGCTTTTCTATCCTATTTTATTCTAATCTACTCTATTATTTTATGTTCTTTTCGAATTTGAGTCCAATTTGATTTCAAGTCGAATTCTATTCAAATTAGAATTTTGTCCGAATTTCATCTGAATTTTATTTTGTTATTTCAGACTGGTTACTATTGTAATTCGGATACACCTGAATTTCCAAATAAAAAAAAAATTTGTCTGAATTTCAAATTTGGAATGAGACAAACTGCACGTGTCTATAACAGATAGATAGAAGACAGCAGAGAGGAGAGCCGAGTCGAGGAGCAGCCCATACCCTATAGGGGTTTAGCCAGGGTCCTATATCTCAAACAAAAAGGATGTAAGTTTCCCACATCAGATCCTGCACCTCAGAGGTCCACCAACTCGGTCACCATTGGGGTTATCAGACAGGGCCGGTGCTGGACTATTCTGCACCCTAGGCAAGAACATCTCATTTTTAACACCCCCCCCCCCATCCAAAAAAATAAAACTTCACATGGAGCTAATCCTTTTCCCTGTTAGCTCCATGTGCAGATTGACTGGGAGCCAATGATGGCTTTTGCTGCACCTCATTGGCTGAATACCTCTTCTTCACAGATTGGCTGAAGTTTGCAGGAGACACTTTTTGTCTCCAGCTAACATCATCCAATCCTGTCCGGGGACAGTGACACCAGAACACAGAAGTGACATTTTACTTCCAGGTCATTAACCTCCCTAGCAGTCTGATTATGTCAGTATTTCTGTGCTCAAAGCGGTACATTTTTGTGTATGGAAATATGTATTTCATACATACACATACTAGGGACAGTTTAGATGAGGAGCCAATTAACCTGCCAGCATGTCTTTGGAGTGTGCAAGGAAACTGGAGTATCTGGAGAAACCCATACACGCACAGGGTGAAACATGCAAACTCCAGGCAGGTGGTGCTGTGGTTGGGATTTGAACTGACAACGCTAGTACTGCCAGGTGGAGGTGCTAACCATTTAGCCACTGTGCTGCCCGTATTTAGACTGTTTAAATGTGTATGCAAACTCTAACAATATAAAAAAACACAATTTAACCATTTTAGTCTGTTAATTATACAATAAAAAGTATTTTCTATTCTATATTTGTTCAATAAGTGCAAATAAAGAAAATAACCCACTGAACCCATTGATCATGTCAGAAGTCTTGTCAGATGGTAGCTTCTTCTGTTCACAGGCCTGTGCTGCTTTGTTATGAGATAACCTCCCTAACGGTCTGATTATGTCCATATTTCTGTGCTCAAAGCGGTACATTTTTTTGCATGGAAATATGTATTTTTTTTTATTATAGGCTGTAATTTTTAGGAATAACTCACTGAAATCTGTCCGAACAAGAGTCTAGTAAACATCCCGGGGGATGATAAATTTTGAAACAAACACGAAATCATAAATTATAATTTAATAAATAATCATAAAAAATAATAATAATTTTAATTCAATAATATAATCAAACCAAAAACACTGAAATTTGAAATATAGCGCCAAGTTCACACATCGCTGAGCAAAGTCGCAGAATTGTTTTCAGTGTCTGATGAGGAATTTCCCCCACCAATCATTATCACTCAATTCTGCAAGTGGTTCTGATTTACTATCGCTGTTCTCTAGCCGGTCTAAAACCGCTTTTGACCTAAAGGGATGCTTTTTGGACGCCATGGACGTTTCTCAGTTTCCAGGCAGAAAGAACAGACAAAATGCAGGCAGGGCGCCGGACAAAGCACTCGGGACAAAATGTATGTGAAATGGTTTGATACAGGAATGTTATACTATGTGATTTTAGTGTATTTAGTGAATGTCACTTTTTCAAATTTTCAAATTTCCCGCCATTTACGTCCCCCGTACGTCCCGTACGTCCCAACACTCGCAGGGAAAGGAACCCAAAAGACAGATGCCGGCATCGGCCGGAGGACATTGCTGGGGACACTGCAGGGGGGACATCGCGGGAGGGCAGGACAAGCTAAGTGCAGAAGAGATCCCGGAGCAACTCTGCAGTGTATTCCCGACTGTAGCTCGGGGTTACCGCTTGTGGTGCTGAAACTTTACCCCGAGCTACACTCGGGAATACCACCAGGGGGGTTAACAGGAAAGGGAGATCAGTGAACGGCTGTTTGTTGATCTCCCTCCCTTCTACCGGTGGAACCCACCATGCACGTCCCAAGTCTGCTAATGAGGACCCTTTTTTTAAATCCGCACCTTAATGGCATCACATGGGTGTTCTCACCCATGCAATGTGTTTTCTGGCAATCTGCGATCTGTTTCAGGGTGTCATTAATTTATCATTGACTCCCGCACCAGATCGCATCAACGCGATGCATTTCAATGCGGTGTGGGAAACGCACAGGATTTGCAGCGTTACTGCATTGGTGTGAACCCCGGGCTCAATGAGATGCTTCCTGTTAGTTCTTTTTTACACTTGTGTTTGAGGGACGTTAAAAGTGTGCAGCTGAGCTATACTTTTACCATCCCCCACCCAGTCCCTATTATGCTGCAAAGGCACTGCCACCATAGTACGGCGGTGAGGGGTTTTAGACAACACCTCACCACTA